TCCATCTCCCAGGGAAAAGCCAAACATACCTCACCCATTGTTGTGGTGGGGCAGGCGGTGGTGTGCCAACAAACCAAAATACCTATGGGGCGAAATGTTCTTATTGTACACCATTTTCCTTTTCTGCATTTCCCATGGACTTCCTTTTCGCACCACACATGGCAGTAGGGGAACGCCTCAACACCACCGTAGCAGAATTTGCCTTTATCATGGGGGTGTGGTGAATCCCTTTTCCCTTTGTTCTTTTTGTTCATGGTGTGGGCCATCCAACAGCACCTTTTATTCGGTGGCACGCGGCACCATGAACAAAGAACATGAGGGGAACGGGGAAGGGTCATCTTAGTGGAAAACTCTTTCTTTCCCTACTTCAGCGCGGAGTAAGATAGGTTTGAAAGGTATTCGGCAATGCCCAAACCCACTCATTTTATAAGTGAAACACCCCCGGGAGCCACCCCACCACTCTCCTTCTTGTTGCGCACAAGACGCTGACAAGTTGGCCGCCCGCCTTGGGTTGTGGAGGTTGCGTGTTCTCTCCTCCTCTCCCTTCTTGGGGTGAGGGATAAAAAAAAAAAGAAAAGGGCAAAACCCGACAACGAGCCTCGAGCATTGCGCACGTAGACCGGTTGCCGGGTTTCATCCCCTTTTTTTCCTCATCCTCACTCTTCTTTTTCTCTCAAGTTCAAAAAGTCCCTGAGCATGATATTTCAGGCCCCAAGGTTCAGCGCCTCGGGACGTAAAGTTCCCCTCGAGCCCCGCCGAAGCGAAGCATGCCACTCACACACAAACCCCACAGAGGCCGCAGCGGTAGCGGTCCAGCAACACAACGGTGTCCTTCCCACTCACAGTGCACACACACACACACAATGACAGTCCCACACGCTCATATCAGAGAGGCACTACGGCATTCACCAAAATGCACACTAAGTCACACACCTACAGAGAGGAAAAGAAAAACACAAGAAAAGAACAACAACAAGAACAGGATACAAACAGTACACAGAGCACTCAACAATACAATAATCACAGCTGCCACTCCCATCAAAGAAAAACATTCACCCACACCAGCACATCAACTCAACCCACAGATAAAAAAGGAAAAACAGACCCATTACGTGAAGCCGAAGCAGAACAGTCCCAGTCCACCTCCCCACANAACACAACGGTGTCCTTCCCACTTACAGTGCACACACACAATGACAGTCTCACATGCTCATGTCAGAGAGGCACTACGGCACTCACTAAAATGCA